AGAGGAGAATTCATTCCTTTCTTCCTCCAGCATTTTTTGGCTGCCAGCATTCCTTGGCTTCTGGCTGCATCACTCCAATCTTCAAGGCCAACATCCGTGGGGCCGGCAGGGGGCGTGGGTTCAGCTGGGAGGGCAGGCGCCGGGGTCCGCCGGGGAAGGACGAGGGGAAGGGGTGCGCGGATTCCCGCGCAGACAGCGATGTGGGGGCAGCGGCGGGGAGGGGCTTGGGGATCTGGGACTGTGTAGAGGGGTGCTGTACTGGCGCGCGGAGGAAGGGGTGGCGCCGAGTCCGCTGTCGCCTCTCCGCGTCCCCCTTCCACCGCCCGGGGACCGCCGCTTCTGACCGCGGCCTGGGGGCCTTAAAGAGGCCTCGGGTCTCACCTCCCGGCAGAGAAGCGCCCACCCAGACACCGTCGGGGAGAAACCGGGGAACTGCAAGCTGCGCAACAGCTTCCGGTTCTGGCGGCGGGTGGGGGCGGGGCCCGGAACGCTGGGACGTTGCCACGGAGACGAGCCGCCGCAGCCGCGCACTTAGGGGAGAGAGAACTGGGAGGCTCGACGGGTGAGAATCCAGCTGCTCTGCTCAGTGTTCGGTTCAGTAAACTAGCATTGTTGCTTCGGAAAGTACTTTTGCTTACATTATTCATTTACTCCGATAACTCAGTGAGGTTATTCCCATTTTACAGAAAATAAACTCAAATGTCCTGTGAGTTGCCAAGGATTACAGAGAGGGGCAAATGCTGTGCTGTCTACCACTGAGTACAGTCCCCAATACCATTCCCACTCCTGAAGTGGTTACACTCCAAGTACTGACGGTTTAAGGGACGGGTTTGACATCCGCAACCCCCACGCTTTCACAGGAGAACACAATGGCCCTTGAAAAAGTGAGAACTGACCCACGTAAAATTTGTCACAATACATACACATTTATTTCCTCAGATAATCTTAACCGCAATTGAAAAATAAGTTTGAGGCCGGGCGCGGTGGCTCATGCTTGTAATCCCAGCACTTTGGGAGGTCGATATCGGCGGATCACATGAGCCAGGGAGTTCGAGACCAGCCTGGGCAACATGGCTAAACCCCATCTCTACAAAAAATACAAAAATTAGCCGAATGTAGAGACGCATGCCTGTAGTCCCCGCTACTGGGGAGGCTGAGGGGTGAGGATCACCTGAATCTGGGGAGATGGAGACTTCTGTGAGTCATGATTGTGCCACTGCACTCCAGCCTGGGCTGCAAAGTGAGACCGTCTCAAAAAAATAAAAATAAAAATAAATTTGAGCCTAAATGCACCACAGCCCCACCCTGTGACTTCCTCCTCTAGCCCCTTTCCCTAGGGACTCCTGGAAAATGTACTTGTACTCGTAACTGAGGAATTAGGGAGAGGACAAAGATGCTTGAAAAGCACTTGTTAATTAATAAACAACAATAACAAAAAATCTCTTTTCGTATGACGGCCCCCCAATAGTATGTTAGTACTGGAATCTGAAGTGAAGAAAGAAGAGGCTGGTTTACTCAGTCTGTGACGCCAGGGGACTAGGGAGAGGTTTGGATCCCAATTAACGTACAATAAAACTAAATTTGAAGAAATTCTTGCTTCAAACAAGGGGCTTTCACAGGATAAGACTTTTCGCTGAGGCAGCTGCCAACACAAATAGCAAACAGCCCAAAAGTGCCAGTGGGAATGTGTTTCTGGCGCTGGTGGGTAGGGTAGGTTAAATGACTCACGTCAGTGGATAATTTGAAACAAGGGCAAGGCTTGGCAGTG